GTGGCTGCCTTTGGCTCAGGTCATGATCCCAGGGTCCTGGGATCGAGCCCCGCATCGGGCTCCCTGCTCGGCGGGAGGCCTGCTTCTCCCTCTCCCTCTGCCTGCCTATCGCTCTCCCTGCTTATGCTATCTCTGTGTCAAATAAAAATAAATAAAAAATCTTTAAAAAAAAAAAAAAGAAGAAGAAGAAAGAAAAGTGTGAGGCAGGACACATGGCCCAATGGAGCAGAAACAATGTGCCACTACCCTGCCTGCCCAACAGGTCTCTCCGAGGGGAGAGCCCCAGAAAACTGGCTTATTTTGCAATCCTCTGTCTTCCACGCCCACTCCAACATGACCTTTGGGTGTGAATGGGAACTATAATGACTGGCTGTCACAAGCTTATGACCTCACAGTGACTAGCTAGAAAAAAACAAACACCATCCAAGGTTCCTCTGACTCAAGACGAGTTACTTTAGTTCATATTACAATTTCTCCATGTGAGGCAAAACAGCTGTCGTGTAGAATAAACAGAGTCGTGTAAAATAATGAGAAGGAATGGAGAATGTGTGTTAATACAACTGTAAACCTCATTTCATTTTGGGAACCCTGAAATTAATTAACCACAGATCTTAGTAGGTCAAACCACTCTCGGAGGGGGACCGAGGGATGAATCAGACCTACTTCCCCACCTGGTAGGTAATAACAGCTCCAAAATCAACTATAACTCTCTGGGATGGGAGCTATGATCACAGAATGTACAAAAGACTATGAAAAACACCTGGGACTAAAAATGTGGCATATACACACAATGGAATTCTTTTTTCTAAGAGGCTACATGCATGCACACACACACACACACACGCACAAAGAGATTATTTATTTAGCATCCCCCCCAAACAAGGAGCTTGAACTCATGACCCTGAGATCAAGAGGCACTTAACTGACTGAGCCACCTAGGTGCCCCATTTATAGCCCTTTTTAAATTGAGGTATACAATGGAATATTATTCAGCCTGAAAAAAGAAGGAAATTCTGGCACCTGGTACAACATGGGTGGACCTTGAGGACGTTATGCTGAGTGAAATAAGCCGGTCACAAGGGACAAATATTGCATGAGTCCATTTACATGAAGTACCTACAATGGTCAAATTTATAGAGGCAGAAAACACAATGGTTGTTTCCAGGGGCTGTAGGGAAAGGGATTGTGGAGTTATTATTTTAAGGGGTACAGAGCTTCTATTTTGCAAAATGAAGAGTTTTATGGATGGATGTGGTGATGGTTGTAGGACAATGTAGATGTATTTAATGCCACTGAACTGTAGATTTAAAAATGGTTAAGATGGTAAATTTTATGTGTGGTTTATCACAGTTTAAAAAAAATTACTAGGGCTGCTACTTGGAAGTGAGCAGTGGTGGAGCTAGTAAAGCCTACACGTGGTCATACCTAGCACATTGTGAAAGGTTGATAAGTAAGTGTTGCTTGAATAAATGAAAGAATGAGTTGGCTAAAAAATGCGTGGAAGGCTGGAGTGTCCTGGCTTCCTCAAACTACCATCCCCAAACCACTGATCAGGTTCTGGCTTCAAGGCCAGGGATGGTCTTGAAATTCAGATTGCCGTGGCTCAGAGACCTGTATGTTCCTAAGCAGACCACAGCCCACTTGACCAAAGACTGGGGCAGAAATAGGAGAGTCCTGGAATTCTCAGGTTCGAAAGAACTATAAAGGTAGTAGTGCAGTCTATCCCTTTATCCCAAGATGGAGTTGCGAGTCCCTTCGACATCCCTGCCTAGTCTAATCTGTGGGCATCCTCAGCCCTAGCAGAAAAGCTGCCACTAAATCTCCGCAACGTTTGCTGCGGGAAAGAATGAGTGAATGAACTCCTAGTGACTCATCCAGTACTGTCACAGCCATCCTAGTGTTCCTATGACCTGCTCCCTGCCCCGGAAATGGGGGCCTGGGGAAATAGCGAACTGTTAGGAGTTGGGGTCAGCAAGGTCACATTCTGTTGGACAGGAGCTGGACAGAGCAGCTCCTATGAAAGAGATAGGCATTCTCAATGTCAATTACCTAGGGAAGAGGTGGATCCTTGTTCAGACTCCAGGATTCAGAAGGCTGGCCTGAGGTAAAGGCATCCTTTTATCAGAACACAGGCTCTAGGTCTAGACGTCTGGAGGACAGAAGTTGTCTAGATGTGGATTCGAGGTGGTGCATGCTAAGATAGCACCTGCTACACAGAGGTAGGCTGAGAGCTGGATGGGGTAGGGTCTGAAAGCCTGGGAAAGCAGGTACCCTGCTATGTCAGATTAACCTCATTCAAGTAATCATGTCTATTTTCCTTTAATAAAGTTCAATGTGATTGTTGATCCTTGTGTTCTTGTGCTAGCTACTAAGAGGTATAGGGAGGTATGTGGATTCATCTATAGAATGAGCATCAGGTGTTGGAGGTAACTGCTGAGAACTCAAAGGAGAAAGGAGAATATGAGGGGTCAAGCGCTGGTGCCTGAGGCACTCTCGACCCTAATGAGAAATTCTCCCACCAGCTCTCTTGGTGATACTGAAATTTATCATTATTAGGGAATTACCATAATAAGGATTATCATTTGTAATCAATGGAACACCTAATAATCCTTCCCAAGAGCATGGAAAGAAGTCCAGCTCAAATCCCATTTTTGGGAAGCCAATGTAATGATTCCATCTCCTACAGGAGAAGCTAACTAGTGGATCGATTCTGAGCTCAGTTCCATTTGGACTGAAGTGGGTTCTGTACATTGGTTATTAATGACCCACCTGAGGGAATTAAGGCTACACTTAAATTGGCAGCTGATAATAACCCTGAGATAAAACTGGCAACAGCCTGGGAAAATCAGAAAAGTGGCCCCTTAAAAACAGAATGAGAAGAAAAAGAAATTATAAGAGGGTAAACGGCAGGATACTGGCAAGAATCATTTTGAAAAGCTGAGCATGCCAAAGAAGCAGACTTCAAGAAAAGTTGTTGTTGAAAATGAAGATAATAATCAGACAATCGAGTATCTGGAAATCTCTTCTGGGCAGTGAAGTGGTTAAAGGAAAAGCTGAAGTCTATACCAATAGATAAGAGATCATGAAATGTGGCTAAAACACAAGACAGTTTTCAAACAAGAATCTAATGGGCTGTCCATAAAGCGACCCAATACACTTTGTTTTCCTTTTAATCCATTACAGAAGACATAAAAATAGTCCCATGACACTGGGAAACAAAGTCCTAGATCTACAACTGCACTAGATGAAAGTTACCAAAGGTGATGGCTGAGGATTCTGCTTAACCTGAACTGCCCAAAGCCCACCAGTCCATGGCACAAACGAGACCGCATAGCACTGTTGTAAAAATGTGCACAGCAAGTATCTTCCCACCTGCAAAACTACCTTGAACTCTCCAAAGTTCAAGTCTCCTCATACAAAGTCAGCGCCAATCCTTTCCTGTGCCTCGAAGTTGGTCTCCACTGGTATCTGCTGCCTAAAAGCCAGGACTGGTATCTGGCTGCCCCAAGAGAACCTACTTCCCTGACATTCTCCTAAGGTTTCTCTCCAAACTGCTAAACCTCATGTTGCAAGAACTTCTGAAGGCCTTTCAGACCTCTTGCATCAGACAGAGCCACACACATTTCAGCAGAGAACTGGAGAAACGTTCGTTGAACTTGGAAATACTCCTTCTTGGGGTGGGGTCTTCTAATGCGCTGACACTGAGGAGTACTTCTGTGTTGTTCACATAATTATAGAGAGCATGCATTACTTTTATAAGCAGCAAAACAACAAAGACACATTTCCATTTTGAAAAAAAGAAATAGGAGTATTGACTTGGGTTTCTTAAGACTGGCTGTTACTTTACCCATATTGTGAGCTTGAAGAATCCCTCCCTGGTCTCCACCTTATAGCATTTCCTATCTCAGTGAAAGTATACCAGCCAAGGAGTGGCTCGAGTTAGACATGTCAGCTTTGATACGTACTTTCCTTCAAATTCTTTCCTTCAATCTTCAGAACCAATCTATAGTCAAGTCCTATCCAAGTCCTAGCAAATGTACCTCCAAAATACTTCTCCAATAGCTTGCCTCTCTCCCTTCGCACCATCTGTCCCCTAACCCAAGCTACCTTCATCTTGCCCAGACTACTATAACTGCCTCTTAGTCTTCAGGGGTCCACTCTAAGCGGTGGACCCCTCTCCAATCTGTTTCAATCCAGCAGCCAAAATGATCTTTTTAAAGTGCAAATCTGAAAGATGTCATTTTCGATCTTAGCCTCCCAGGGTTTTTAGCATAAAAACCACAATCTTTCCTTTGGCTTTCAAGGTTTTTTTCTAGTCTAGCCTCTATTTCTCCAGACACTTCCAGTACATTCTCAGCCCTACAACCACACTAGCCTTAGTTCCTCCAAATGGCCACCCTTTCTCTCACTACAGGACTCTTATCTACACACGTAGTTTGCTCTATCTGCCGCCCACATCACTTCCCACTTCGTCTAGTTAACTCCTACGCATCAGCTCAACAGTCACTTCTTTGGGGAAGCCATCTCTAGGCCCCCAGATGAGGTCAAATGCCATTACTGCATTTGTTCATAGCACTGTGAACCTTTCCTTCATAGTATTTATAAAAGTTATATTTTATATTTATTTGTGTATTTATTACTTTAATATCCATCTCTGTCACTAGGGTGTAAACTCCATCTGGGCAAGGACCATGTACACCTTTGTAATTCCAGCACAAGCCCAGTGCCCAGGCACATAGGAGGCATTAAATATTATCTACTGAATGAATGTTAACTTCCTGAATGATAAAGTGGTTCTTTCCTACAATGGCCCTAAAGTTAAAAATTCCAGGGTACATCTGAGATCTGGTTTTCCAAATTTTAAGGAAGAAATCTCCATACATACCACTGATATCTTGAAGGATTTTTTTTATGGCTTAGCTCTTCCATCAAGCCAGTGATGCTATACTGACCTCTCTGGAAGTGGCATGAGGCAGTAGTGAAAGCCCAGGTGAACTTACCCCTATGGTAGATGCCATGTAGTCTGCACACATTTCTGCAAAGTCTCGCTCAAGAACTCCATAATAGAGGCCATAAAAGAGGAGAGAAATGCCAAAGTCCATGGCGTCTTCTGGTTTGATCCTGTAAGGAAAGCAGCATGGCCTGTAAGGCCTGCCCTAAGACACAACTGCTTTGGATCACTACTCTGGGACACATAAGGAGGCACCTGAAGTTGGAAGCTTTAACGGCTAAATCAAGTGCTGGCAAAATAAGACCAGATCTTAAACCTGTTTTTTATATGGCCTGTTGGCACCATCTGAACAGGCTAGCACTGTGAGCTACAAAGATCAAGCCAGGGTGTTGCCTACCACCCCTCTTCCCCACTCTGTCCCCAATGCGTGCCTCCACCAACTGGCAACCATGCCTTGCAGCTGTCTAGGGCCCACTCTGGTTGGCACCTATGTGTTGGAGACTCCACTGTTGGCAATCACTGGACACCAACCAGTGGAATTTCAGTCTGGAAGTTGGCAACTCACCAAGTTGCCTCACCTCCAGCCAGCTGCCCAAGTTGAAATGGCAGGGCAAGGGCACACCAAGATCTGGGTTGTCACTGGAACAGAAAGTGAAAATGATCCCAGTGGTCACACAACCCCCTTGTTAGGCCCCTCCTTCTGAGGATGTCTCATCTGATGGCAAGTGGGCACAAAGTATGCCTCCCACCTGAGAGAGCCCATCCATCAAACAAGGTGAGGCAAAGAAAGAGTTTCCCCTCTTGTTATAGACTTTGCCTTTTGTCCACAAAGCCTAAAATATTATTTGGCTCTTTACAGAAAAAGTTTGCCAGCCACAGCTTAAAAATAAAAGATAAAATTAGTCACTTAGCAAATATATACATACCAGTTACCATAAAATTTTAAGCTGTATCTATACATATTCTGTATCATGTCATCAAAGTTAAATTTCGGTCCAGGGGTACCTGGGTGGTTCACCCGGTTAAGTGGCCAGGTCATGATCTCGGGGTCCTGGTATCGTGTCCTGCATCGGGCTCTGTGCTCAGCAGGGGGTCTGCTTAATGATTCTTCCTCTCTCTCCCTCTTCCTCTGCCCCATCCCCAAGCCCCCCACTCGTGCTCTCTCAAATAAATAGATTTTAAAAAATGGGGGATGCCTGGGTGGCTCAGTTGGTTAAGCGTCTGCCTTTGGCTCAGGTCATGATCTCACAGTCCTGGGACTAAGCCCCACATTGGGCTCCCTGCTCAGCATGGAGTCTGCTTCTCCCTCTCCCTCTGTCCCCCAACTCATGCTCGCTCTCTCTCTCAAATAAATAAAATCTTTAAAAAAAAAATTGGGGGTCCAAGTCTACTTACTAAGAAGGACAAAGATCTTGCCTATACATTAGGAGGCTTGTTTTAATAATTCCAAGGACCAATAATTTGCAAACTTCAGTCTTCGAATGTTTATTAAACAACCTTGGTCAAAAATTTGTACCAGGGACTGTACCTGTTTACTTAAAGTTGTAAATTATATTTATCTTAAAAAGTTGAGTGTATTCATCAATCTTATAATATTTAACCCACTAGACATCATAATATTATACCAATTAACCTGATTAATAGCATAAAAATGGTCAAGATTCTCAATTCTGTCTTCCTCCTTGTATAGCTTATGCAAGTAAAAACAAACTGTAATTAGAGAATAACCATCTTTAATACAATGTAGAATCTTTTTCTTTTCCTTTTTCTTTTTTTAAAATAGGCTCCATGCCCAGCATGGAGCCCAATGTGGGGCTTGAACTCACAACTCTGAGATCAAAACCTGAGCCACTCAGGCACCCTGCAACGCAGAATCTGGATTTTTATTTTTTTAACCACACAGATTAGGAAGCTATCTGGAAATAGCTTGGCTTTCTTTGATGGGACTTGCTAGACTCTATACTGATGAATTCCTATAAACCTTGGTGGAGACTGTTTATGCTTTTTCCTGGAAAAAAGAATTCCATGGGTATGCTCTCACTATATAAAGTAAGGACTTACTCCTTTCAGTTTCAAAGAGACTCCTGCCTCCAGTGCACTAGATTTGGGAAAGAGGCCAGTGGTCCTGACTTTAAACCTGAATCCTAAATCTCTAGCTTCAAGTGCCCGGACCTAGGCTCAGGATTCCTCATGATCCACAGTCCACAGTCCCCATCACCTCAGCCAGGAGACCACATTTCCATTCTCATCTGTCCTGCTGACTCACTATACCCTACAGTCTCAGAGTCCAGGATTTCTTGGCTTTCTTGGCTTCTGCCTCAACTGGGAGCAGGGGAACCTGTACGCTGATACGAATCTTTTTTTTTTTTTTTTTTAATTATTTATTTGAGAGAGAGCATGAGAGAGCGAGCACAAGCAGGGGGGAGGGGTAGAGGGAGAGAGAGAAGCAGACTCCCTGCTGAGCAGGGAGCCCGATACGGGACTTGATCCCAGGACCCCGGGATCATGACCTGAGCTGAAGGCAGACACTTAACTGACTGAGCCACCCAGGCGCCCGATAGGAATCTTTTTGAAATTTTATGACAATATGAAGCAATAGTCAGAATCCGACTCCTGGTAACGTATCCTTAGAAGCAACAAAGCTAATATTATCTGTGATAGCACAATATCGAAAAACACCCTAAGTGCCCAACAATAGAGCAGGAGTTAAATGTCCACGGGTTAACTTTCTAAAAAACGGTTTCGGAATGCCAGCTACGTTACAAAGCAACAATGTGTTAAACATGACGCATGTGCATCTGAACTGGGAGATTCTTAAAACTGGATGTGTTCCCAGGAGGGGGAAAGCTTCCAGGCCACCCATCTGTGTGGTCTCACCCCCTCACATCTCAGCCCTGGAACTGCTCTGAGGGCTCCTACGGATACCACTCTGTTTCCTGCCCTGTACACTTCCAGGTGCACTTGTTGCCAGGTGTGGCCAACTGTGTCACATGAGTCTGACTGTCTAGTTCAGGGGCTGGCAAACTTTTTGTGGAAAGGGCCAGATAGTATTTTGAGTTTTGTGGCCCAAATAGTCTCTGCCACAAATATTCAACTCTGCTATTGTTATACTGCAAAAACAGCATAAACAATGCATAAACAAATGAGTGTGATGATGTTCCAGTAAAAGCTTTTTTTATCTTGTAAAAACAGGACAAAGGCCAATTTGGTCCACGGGACAGTTTGCCAACCCCTAGTCTCCCTAAACATAAGACCACTCAGGTAGAGTCATTGCAATAAACAGTGAACACATGGACAAGGAAAATGACTCTGATAGGGTGATGGATAACTGGCCATAATCATTATTATGCTTACTGTTGTGATACTTTTCCATTAAAATATAGGTTCTTGGAAAACATAACCAATGATGGGACTCTAACTCTATATCCAGACATCCCTTCCTCTTTGCCAGCACAAATCATGGAGGGCCCACCTTCCCATTCCCCAAAGCCCAAGTCTCCTATCCTGGGTGCCATGGCCCCCTTGTTAATATTCAGGACTTGGCTTGTGGAGGAAAGGTACATCTTACCAGCCCCTCCTCCCCAAACAAAAACAAAAACAAAAGCAAAGAGTACTTACTTGAATAATAAATTGAGACCAAAGAGGGTAAACATGACAGCCATGTAGCCAACAATGCCAGTGGCATAGCTGATTTTATAGATCAACAGGAACCACTTATAAACCAACCTGGAGAAAGGAGAGAAAATTAGCATAGCTGACATGGAAACTTGCCTAGGGGCCTCTGGATTACCAGAATCTCTTATTCTTACATCAAAGGGGACATTAGGTTATTTGTCTAAGACTTACGAAGCAACTTCAGTTACTGTTACAGACCTGGTCACTCTCTTAATTGCAGAAATACCCCTGCATACCAGGGAGCTAGTGCTATTTTCCTGGTCCCAGACCAAGGGAAGAAAAGGGAGCCTTCTAAAAGGTTTCAGCTTCAAACAAACAAAAAGCAGAGCTGACATCAGACAGCTATGCCCTCTCAAATTCAGATTAGCTGGATAAGGAAGTGAAAACTAGTAACTACAGCTATGTTCAGATGGGAAGAGGTGGGGAAGGCCAGCTGTTCTTGTCAGGAAAGAGAATTCAAGGGAAGATGAAAAAGAGAATCAGCTATGGGCTTTTCCCTTTTTTTTTTTTTTAAATATTTATTTATTTAAGTCATCATTATACCCAACATGGGGCTCGAACTCACGAGTTCAAGCTCCTGAGATCAAGAGGTGCATGCTCTTCCGACTGAGCCAGCAAGGCACCTCCAAGCTTTTCCTACTGGGAATGGTCAACCTGAATACTGCTTTGCTCCTATCTACAGGCTTATAATGAAATGGTGTCTAATGAATTTGCTTCTGAAATGATTTTCTTTCTGGAGAAGAAGGGATAAGAAAAGAGGTACTCAAAGAATACCTTTGAATGGATGTATGTGTGGGATGGTGGTGGTGGTGGGGTGGGGTTCACAGAATGCTCTTGAAGGAGGAGCAATGCTCTCTCAAATTCAATGAAAAGCAGTGTGAAACCAGGATGGTGAGAGCAAACTGAGGAATTCACTTGAATAAACAGCTCAAGCCTGTCTGGCTCCTGAGACCAAGTTACCACCAACCTTGATAGGCCACAGGGAGGAAGCTCAAGGTCCCTCCCTGTGCCTCCGTGCTGTGGCTAAGCAAGTGGTAATGGGTTCTCAGGCAAGGAAAAGGCCCCAAACATTTTGTAGTGCCTGCCCTCAGAAACCACACAAAGCTCCATTATCCAGGGTTTGCACTCATCAGATAGGAGTGAGACAGTGGAAAGGATGTGGAATTTTAGGCAAAATCTGGATTAAATGAGTTTTATTAGCTGGGTAATCCCAGGTAAATCAAATCACCACTCTAAGACAAGTTTACTTATTTGTAAAATGAGGAAACCATGATACCTTCCTCAATGGATCGTACAGAGCCCATTTCCTGGTGTATATAATACATGCTCAATAAACGCTACATGAATAAGCATGGATGTTTATGAAAGTGCTTTGAAATTATAAAGCACTATCAAATGTTAGTTATTATCATCAAAAACCTCCCATGTCATAGATACATTTTCAGTCACTTTACCTACAAGTTGATACTGGTTGTTACTTACTGACACTTAAAGTATATTTTTACACCGTTTCTTCACAGCACCCTTTATGAGGGAGCAATCATTGTCACATTTCTAGGGATAAAAAATTCAAGGCTCAGAAAGGTGAAGCCATACAGGTCATGTAATTAAGTGGCAGGGCTGAGTTTCCAATCCACATCCATCTGGCTCCAGAGTCTCTATCTTCTATCATGGCCCTTAATGTAAACTACCACAGCCAGGGAGGAACTTCCAAGTCATCGACTTCACCTTGAAGATAAATTTTACCATGTACAAGGAAACTCAGAAGGCCAAAGTAAAACCTTACAGTGAAGCGGAACATAAAATGCATGGGAAAAAGAGCAACTTGCAACTTGGAAGCCTCTGGTTCTGATAGTTACAACTTTGAGGCTGGCTAGTTCCTCTGCTAGGCTCTCCTGGACCTGTACACATGTCTCTCACAGCACTTACCAACTGCACTGAAACAGCTGCTTTCTGGTCCATCTCCTCCATTAAACCGAGCATTCCTTGAGGGCAGGGACCATGTCTTATCCAGCTCTGTATCCCCAGCGCTCAGCACAGGGCCTGACACATAGCAGGTGCTTGTTGAATGAATGAATGAATGAGAAAATCTCTTTCTGTCAAGTACAGATATGAAATGACCTCACAAGCTGGTTGGGAGGATCAAACTAGAAATGCATTTGGATAAAATACAAAGAATAATACAGGCAGGGGCTGTTTTGTGACCAAAGAAGTATTGTTTGTTGAAAAATTGCAAATTTGCTGAGATTCATTCATTCAACAAAAATTCACAGAGTGGGCTACTATGTGCCGGGCCCTGTGGTAGGGCCTGGATATACAGGGACAAACAAAATACATGTGGTTCCTGATCTCACAGTTATAGTTTAGTGGGGGAGATAGACACTCAAGATTTTGTGTTATGTTCTATGATGGAAAACTATAGGGCCTATGAAAGAATATAACAGAAAACCTAGTTTAGAGATCAGAGAAGGGTTCACAAAATAACATTTAAAATGAGACCACAATGATCCCCAGAATTTGCTTACTTATTTGGTTGATTTAAATATACATAGACCTTGATATAAACTCTACGGTAAGCTATAGGGAAATATTTTGGGGTTTTTAATCTGTGAATGGGGGGGGGGGGCGGGTAGTTCTCCCAATCAGCTTGTTTTGGTGGGGGCCCATGCCAAATAACTTTGGCAAACAAAAATTACAACTTTTTCAGCCTAAACCTACCCCAATCCCATGCATTTCAACCCGTTCCCTTCAGGAAACCTAGCTCTTCCCCGCCACCTAAACTCTCACCTTGGGGTTGTCTGTACTAGTGGTTTTCGGGTGGCTCGGAAGGTGACAAAAGCGGTGACAGCAGAGAACAAGATCCAGATCACTAGGAACCTCCACCAATGCAGCTTCACTGTGAAATAGAGGGGAACAACCCACATCTGAAAGAGGGTCACCATCTGAAACACAAACACAAGCACTTCAGCTCTAGCCAGCTCCCTCTGTGCTCTATCTGCAAGTCCAGAGTGTATGTTGTGTGTTCCATTTTAGCCTGATCTTCTCCTGTAGTTCCCATGTTGGAGAGAGGCCCCTCCTGGCGGTCTAACTTAGAAACTTAGGACCATGCCTGACATCTCTCTTTCATTCCTCACCTACCTGTTGCATACGTTCTTTCCTTTCCATGTGAGCCCTGGCTATCCCTTGCCTGGCTCACTATAGTGACCTCTTTGTTAAAGCTCCCTGCATTCAGCAACCCCCTCTCCAATCTATCCTTCCCAGGAGCACTGGAATGGTATCTCTCACATACAGTCTTGAACATGTCATTCCCCTGCTTACAACCTTCTAATGGTCCCCTGCATACAGGATAACACCCAAATCCTTAGGCAGTCAAATCCTCCACAATGTGGCCCGAAACTACTATTTCAAGAGTGACCTTCTACTACTTCCCATGCCGTTAGATTGTCCCCCTCAGGCTAAAACATCCTTTCCACCTGCCCTTCTGCCTGGTCACATCACAGCCAAGATACACGAAGCCTTCGATCTCCTTTCCGGGCAGGATGTCGTAACTTTCTAGCGCTCCAAAGGCACCTTCTTTTCTACCGTCATTACATGCTCATCTCGACTGCTTCAAATTCATTATCTGAGTATAAGCTCCTTGAGAGCAGTGACTAGGCCATATCCCTCTGTTTCCCATGTGCTAGGAAACGGCCTAGCACACGACAGAGCCTCAGTGAACTCAGATACATGAGAAGAAAGCAAAACTAGAACCCAAAACAGAGGCACGTTTCTGCTGTAAGGGGTATCTCAGAACTTGGGCTTGTCAGCTGAAGAGTTCCAAATGTATACAATGATTCTGAATCAGAAGTCTGGACTGATCACCAGTCTTCCACTCCCTGATGCCTCCTAACTGCCTCCACCAACCACCCTGCTTTCACTAGATGTCACTCTGCTCAGGTGAGTAGCAGGTGTTTAAAAAAAAAAAAGGTAATTAGTACTTAATGGAGCCTTTCTTCCTGATATCATCAAATAAAATGAAAGAACGTGCAGGGACGAGTTATAGAGAGGAAAATGATAGTTTCCTAAAGTTCCATAGTGGAAAAAACTTTTGAGAAAGTATTTACTTGGGGATTTCTAGACCAGTGCTACCTAATCAAAACATAATGGTAGTCACATACGTAATTTTAAGTTATCTAGTAGTGACATTTAAAAAAGGAAAAAGAAACATTGGTGTTATTATTTTTTTTTTTTAAGATTTTATTTATTTATTTGACAGAGAGAGACACAGCGAGAGAGGGAACACAAGCAGGGGGGAGTGAGAGAGGGAGAAGCAGGCTCCCCGCCGAGCGGGGAGCCCGATGCGGGGCTCGATCCCAGGACCCTGGGATCATGACCTGCGCTGAAGGCAGACGCTTAACGACTGAGCCACCCAGGCGCCCCCACTGGTGTTATTTTTAAAGATTTTATTTATTTGAGAGGGAGAGCAAGCGAACAGGGGGAAGGGCAGAGGGAGAGGGAGAGGGAGAGGAAGAAGCAGACTCTGTGCTGAGCACGGACCCTGACGTGGGGCTCGAGCTCACGACCCCGAGATCATGACCTGAGCCGAAATCAAGAGTCAGATGCTCAACCGACTGAGCCACCCAGGTGCCCCCAGATGATATTAATTTAAATAATATATTTTATTTTATCCAATACATCCAAAATATTATCGTTCCAACATTTACTTCATATTAAAATTATTTATGAAATCTTTTACTTTTTTTTGTACTGAGGCTTTGAAATCTGATGTGTACCTTATATTTATGGCATACCTCAAGAGAGACTAGTCACATTTCAAGTGCTCAATAGCCATATGGTAATGGTGGCTCCCATATTGGACAGTGTACCTTAGAGCATCTTTTTAGCATTTAGTTGTCTCCTGTAGCTTCTAACAGACTGCTCTGTGGCAAGAAAAAGCCTTAGTGTTTTAGTGTTATTTTACATAGGAGAAAAAAAAAGAGAAACACTGAGAGGAGAATGGTGAGCAGATCCCACTTTGCTTTAGAGCTTACGGTTCTGTGTGCTCACTGGTGCAGGCTAATGGTCAGTGAACAATGTAGTCTCACTATCCATTCCACTGTACAGGAACTCCCAACCAACTCTCCGAATGAAACATCCTAAAACAGTCTGGCCTTATATGAAAAGTGTGGGAGCACTGGGACGTATTAACAAATGGCTACCCAAATAACACTCCAGGTAACATTCTATGAGATAATGGGAGGAGACCAGGAAAGGACATCGTAACAAACCATATATTATTTAAGCTAGGGGATAAGAGGGGCGCCTGGGTGGCTCAGTTGGTTAAGTGTCCATCTCTTGATTTAGGCTCAGGTCATGAGGTCTCGGGGTTGTGAGATCAAGGCCCATGTTGGGCTCTGTGCTCAGTGGGGGAGTCTGCTTGGGATTCTCTCTCTCCCTCTGCCCCTCCCCCGTGCGTGCACTCTCTCAGTAAATAAATTTTTTAAAAATCTTAAAAAAAAATACTTTAGGGGTGCCTGGGTGGCTCAGTTGTTAAGTGTCTGCCTTCGGCTCAGGTCATGATCCCAGGGTCCTGGGATCAAGCCCCACATCGGGCTCCCTGCTCGGTGGGAAGCCTGCTTCTCCCTCTCCCACTCCCTCTGCTTGTGTTCCCTCTCTCGCTGTCTCTCTCTCTGTCAAATAAATAAAATCTTAAAAAAAAAAATACTTTTAACTAGGGAGTAAGACAACTGGAATCATGATATTCAAAGGGAGTAAATAAATGGTGGTGAGATGTGGAAAGAAGAGCTGCAGGGTCTTTAGCCTTCACATCATTTGCTTACAAAACAGCAGGACCAGAGACTACAGAAGAATTAAATTACAGAGTCTGGTTACATTTGTCTTCTCTGAGAAAAAAAAAAAAAATAGGAATTCCTCCAAAAACCTGGCTATTGCAAAAAACCCAAAAAACCAAAAAAAACCCAAAACAGAACAAAAAACCAGCCTGTCCCCTACCAGCCTTTTTCCCACTCCTCACCAATCATCAATAGCATGTTCTAAGAAGGAATCTAGTGAAGATAATTTTCTCTACATGAGCTGTAGCTCTGCATACTTTGGGTGCGGAGAGAGGCAAAGGACCTGGATTCTATTCCGGGTTGAATAAAGGCATAATCAGGAGTAGAAATCAGTGTAAAAGGAATGAAAAAAGTCTTGCCTTGCTTTGTTAACTCTGAGGCTTAAAACTTTAAGTGTATAAAGCTACTCAACTCACATCATGAAAGAAAGAGAAAAAGGAAAGAAAAGGAAGAAGGAAAGTAGGGAAAGAGGGAGCAATTTAGGGACAGGGTTAGGTTCTTTCAAACCAGATGGCTAAGTAGAAGACCAAAAGACCTAGATTCTAGTTCTGTGTGCTTCCAACTCACTGGGTCACCCTAAGGAGGTCCTTCCTCCTTGAGGGACAGGTTTGACTTGATTTTTCAAGCCCCTTTAAAGTTCTAACATGCTAAGGTTCTATTAAGCAGCCTTGTATCTCAGATTTCCTGGGAGAGCGAAGGCAGTGTTCATTCACTGGTACATCGAGTATTTATTTTGCATTTAATGGAAAGAAGAATGCAGAAATAAACATGACCCCCTAGTTAGGACCCCTGTCCTCAAGGGGCTAACAGTCCAGCGGCAGGAGAAAAATAGAAATCAAACCCAAACTTTATTTTTTTTTTAAAGATTTTATTTATTTGACAGGGAGAGCACAAGCAGAGGGAGAGAGAGAGAGAGGCAGGCTCCCTGCTGAGCAAGGAGCCCGATGTGGGACTTGATCCCAGGACCCTGGGATCATGACCCAGGCCGAAGGCAGCTGCTTAACCGACTGAGCCACCCAGGCGTCCCTCAAACCCAAACTTTAATGATTCTATTAATCTTTAGATGCTTTAAAAAATTTTTTTGTTTTAAAGTTGGTTTTTTTTTTAAGGTAGGCTCCACACCCAGCATGGAGCCCAAGATGGGGCTTGACCTCACAACCCTGAGATCAATACTGGACTCTTAGCTGACATCAAGAGTTGGGACGCTTAACCAACTGAGCCACCCAGGAGCCCCTAGAGATTTTATTTTTAAGTAATTTCTATACCCAATATGGGGCTCAAACCCACAAACCAACTGAGCCAGACAGGCACCCCTCTTTAGATGTTTTTTAGAAGTTCAAATAGAAATCATTAAAGAATGAATAAATAAAGTAGAATGATACAGTGAAATGACTGGAGATTTTAGAATTAAAGAGATCTAGATATGAATCCCAATATAGCTATTTACTGTATTATCTTAGGTAAGTCATTTAACCCTGATAAACCTAAGTTTTCTGAACTGTAAAATGGGATTAACAGTATCTACTTTCAAAAGATTGTATAGAGGGGCGCCTGGGTGGCTCAGCTGGTTAAGCGTCTGCCTTTGGCTCAGGTCATGATCCCAGGGTCGTGGGATCCAGCCCCGCATCGGGCTCCCCGTGGGGAGCCTGCTTCTCCCTCTCTCTCTGCCTGTCACTCTGCCTACTTGTGTTCCCTCTCTGTCAAATAAATAAATAAAATCTTTAAAAAAAAAAAAAGATTGTATAGATAAAGTGAATTAATGCATGGAAAGCTCTTGGAACAATGCTAAAAACGTAAGCATTTAATATAAATAATGTAATAAATATAATGTAAATATTCAATATACTAGTTCTTTTATATAAAAAAAAACAAGCAGAGGGGTGCCTGGGTGGCTCAGTCGTTTAGTGTCTGCCTCCGGCCCAGGTCATGATCCCGGGGTCCTGGGATTGAGCCCCACATCAGGCTCCCTGCTCAGCGGGAAGCCTGCTTCTCCCTCTCCCACTCCCACTGCTTGTGTTCCTGCTCTCACTATCTCTCTCTCTGTCAAATAAATAAAATCTTAAAAAAAAAAAAAACAAGCAGAGTGCATAATTCATAGTAAGCATTCAGTA